TGCATTAAAACAATAAAAAAAACTATTAGCTTAAATTAAAGATAAAAAATTATTTACTACATTAAGCACTACATTAAACTAAACTTAAATTGAACTAAACTAAATATTGTTCTGCGACACATATTAAAAATTCTATAAATGGTTCTTTACCCCTCATACGTTCCCTCCATATAAAACTCTTGTAGGTATGAGGGAAATAAATCTCTGGAAGTACCACATTGTCTCCGGAGCTTCTTTTTGGAGCGCATCCAAACACATTTTATGGTTTGTGTATGAGCACTGTTATCGTCTGGATTCACAAAGTGGGTCTGATGAGTAACGCTAATTGCACACACACAGTTATTGGACGGCCAGCATAAAATTGGCCGATATTTTACTGGTAGCAGATGCTTGCACACACACACACACCGGATTTTTACCGGTCAAACAATTAGTTGCTTTCTTGTCGTGACACGAGGTTGTTGAATAATAATGAATCCTAAACTAGTTGTTGTTATTACATTTTTGTATCGCCGTATTAAGCGCCGTAGAATTAAACGCAAGTGGTATATCCATCCTATCAATCAAAGCAGAGAAAACACGGGAACATTCTACACTCTTTTTGAAGAACTAACGCGTGATGATAGTAAGTTTTTCAACTTCTTTAGAATGTCTATTCCATCCTTTGATGAACTCCATGAGAAGTTAAAAAATGAAATTGAACATCAGAATACCAAAATGTGAAACTCTATTCATTCACGAGAAAAGCTTGCTCTAACATTAAGGTAAGTAGTAAATCAATATAAAATAATTTAATGCTTTCTCTCAATAAAATATAGACCTGACACTTTTTATTGATGTTCTTAATGTAATAAATGTTATTAAATATATATAACCCTAAGATGTTCACCACAGTTTAACAAGAAGTCCAAACAATTCTGGTATTCTTACTAACCATTTTTTTAATGGGTGAAATTACGTTACAATAACCCAAGAGTTTGCGAGTTTGAGGTAATATTAATGAAAGTACAGAGAACAAAATATAAGCACACGTTATTTTTTCAAAGTTTATTTCATTTTATTGTAAATTTTACCTTAAAACCTTATACAAAACATATGCAACAAAAATGAAAAAAAATATGAAAAGTCATAGGTGGTATCTGAATACACAGATCCACATGGGGAGGGGCTAGTCGATGGAAAGGTCTCTGGAAAGGTCAATTGGTTGTCTTTTCGAAGAGCATGCCTGCTGGTGGTTTGAATCGTTGATATTGTTAAAATTGGTGTGATTGTGTTGAAATTGGTGGGTTTGGCGATTTGGCGACTGGTAGGTTGGGGGCTGTTGTGGTAGGAAGTTGTTAATTGCACTTAATGGATTGGAATAAGACATTTGCGATGTGGAAAATAATTGATGCTGTGGAGAACGATAGTAGGAGGGTGTTTGCTGTGGAAGGAGTTGAGGTTGAGCAGTGTTTTTGCGCTTATTATTGATATTGGAAATTACCTTCAAAACCTCTATTTGGAATTCTAGAGTTTCACTGTCGTCAAACTTATTTAAATGTGGTAAAAGCCCTTGAATAAAAGAAATGTGAGGACTTGTGAGTATGAGTGGTGGTTCTTCTAATGCTTTTATTAGTTTTAACTCAACCTCATCAATTTGGCGACGTCTTTTGTGTTGTCGTGGTTTGGGATTATTCCGGATAGTCTCCTTGGGGAGTAGTGGGGCTTCGGGTAGAGCATCTGCATCTTGGTCTTCGTTGTTACCCGGTCTACCTTCGAAACTTTCTGTAACTTCCCTCGTCTGGAACAATTTATTTAAAAATTTCATTTGGTCAACATATATGTATTGTACAGTTGCGGTCACGGAATAGTTTACACCTTACTTTTTATATTGTAATACTGTAAAATTGCAGTGTCGTACGGATTTGATAAATGTCAAAGTCAAAAAATTTCAAAACGTCAATGCTTTCGCGAGTGTTCAACAATAAAATAAAAGTATATTAAACTCTTCCAAAATGGTTAGAATACATTTGAATTATGCGCAAAAAGCAAGAGCAATTGCCAAACTCGAAGAAGGTTGGTCACTAAGGCAAGTTGCTGCTGATTTGAACGTGAGTCATATGTGCATATGGAAGATTAAACAAAGATGGGATAATTTTCACTCTATAGCACGGTTGGGCGGTTCAGGAGGGCAGAAGATTTCCACAGATCAACAGGATGAGATGTTAGTAGATTATTTGAGAGAATCTCCTTTTGCCACAGCTCAAAAGGCAAGAGAAGAGGCACCGTTTCCAGGCAGTATTCGCACTGCACGTCGAAGAATTAAAGCAAGTGGACTGCTAAATTGTGTAGCTGCACGGAAACCTTTTTTGACTGAGGATCACAAGAGGAGACGAGTTGAATTTTGTAATGAATTTATAAACCGCGATGAGAATTTTTGGTCTAGGGTTGTATTTTCCGATGAAAAAGTATTTCAGTCGTATAATAATGGTCGAATAAGAGTTTATAGGCCGAGAAATCATAGGTATGATGAACAGTATACGCATCATTTAAGAAATAGTGGAGGATTCTCTGTCAACCTATGGGGATGGATAAGTGCCGAAGGCCCGGGCGTTTGTTATCATGTAGAGGAGAAGTTAACAGGATTATATTACAAACATATTATTGAGCACACAATGTTGCCATCGGTGATCCAGAGATTCCCCAACAACGACTTTATCTTCCAACATGACAATTGCCCGGTGCATACGAGTAGAATTGTTCGAGAATGGCTAGAAGAAACTGATGTTAATGTTCTTCCGTGGCCTTCCCGTAGTGCAGACTTTAACCCCGTCGAAAATGTGTGGGCAGAGTTAACAAAGAAACTAAATGAAAGAAACCTTAGACCACGGAATAGAATTGAATTATGGGAAGCAATTGGGAAGAGCTTGTTAACTATAACATGAGGGGATTGGTGCTATCTATGAACAGAAGACTGCAAAATTGTATTGACAAGAATGGGGCTTCCACCAAATATTAATTATTATTTATCATTGTTTATCGTTATTTAATATAAAATAGATTTAAAATAAAATGCATATTAAAAAAAAGACTTCTTTATTTTCGTTATTAAGATCATAATCCATTTTATTCAAAAAACTGTTTTCTATATTTTTCATTTTGTAAAATATTTTGATATTTTAATTTTAATCTACCTATTCTAGCTAGTACACCACTGGCAACGTCACTTTGACGTAAAAGGTGCGTTTAAACGAAGTAAAAATTTAAAAAATGGGCTCCTAGATACGTGAACCTGTAAACTATTCCGTGACCGCAACTGTACATATATGTTGACCAACATATATGTTGTTCGTTCAGAGTAAACGGTAGGTTAAGTGGATTAGGGTTCGATGAGGAGGACTGAGGAGGGAGCTGTTCGTCTCGTGTCAATAAATGGTTAGTTCTGTTTTTGGATTTGTCTAAAAAATATTGTGCCAAGGTATCAGAGATTTTCTGGTCGTCTGTAATAATATTATTTTCATGGATAAGAGCGGGTATTTTATACGTTGTGTTGCGTCCATTAATTTGTTTTATTTTGTTCCATACTTGCGTTGGAGATGTGTCAGCGGTTATAGTACTGGAGAATTTAATCCAAGATTCTCGTTTACTTTCTTTTATTACTCGTTTAGAGTTGGCCTTTAGTCTCTTGAAATTAATTAAGTCCTTTTCTGATCGTGTTCTGCGATATTTGTTTAAGGCCTTTTTGCTAGCTTTAACTGCTAGCTTGCAAGATAGGTTCCACCATGGTACAGATTTTTGGGATGGATTAATGGAGCGCTTTCCTATGTGTTCCTCTGCTGCTTGCAGTATACATCTATTAAATTCCTCAACATCAGTATCAGCATTGTTTTGATAAACAATTTCGTTAACTCGATCCTTAACAGATGCGCTGAAAAGCTCCCAATTAGCTTTTGAGATATTCCATTTGCTCTTAACATAAGGCGGTTTAGCTTCATTATTAGTGATGAAAATTGGGAAGTGGTTGCTATCATAGAGACTATCAAGCGTGTACCAGGTAAGAAGAGGAGCTGTTTTGGGATCACTAATGCTCAGGTCAATTGAAGAGAAGGAGCCAGACTGTATATGAAAATACGTGCTACTTCCTGTATTTAAAAGACTAACATCATGATTAATGATAATATCCTCAATAATCTTACCTCTACCAAACGTATTTCTGGATCCCCATATAACACTATGAGCATTAAAATCTCCAACAAGAATAAATGGAGCTGGAAGTTGGTTAATGAGATTTAAAAGTTCAGCACTGACAAGATTATAGTTAGGAGGAATGTAAACATTGCAAATGACAATTTTGTTAGGGCACCATGCAGTTACTGCTACAGCTTCCAGCGTTGTATTTAACAAAAATTCTCGGTGAAAGACATCATTTGAGATAAAAATGGAGGATCCACCGCTGGCCCTTAAATGCGTTGTCCTAATAAAATTATAGCTAGAATAGTTTCTAAGATACGGATTGTGTGTTGTGTTAAAGTTAGTCTCTTGTAAGCAGAGAAAATCAGGGGCGTGATCTGAGATTAACTGTTGTAATCGTTCAAGACGGGGGAAAAACCCGTCACAATTCCACTGAATTAATGTGAATAAAATTACAGATTATTGTAATGACTTTTGAGACTGTTGAGATGCGTCTGGGTTGCTGTCATCATCGATTACGTCATAGGATATATCAATACTAGATACACTTTCGGCGTCATCAGGTTTCAGTTGGAGTTTAATTTTTTTATTTATGCGTGTTATACGATATTTAATTGCCCGTTCTTGGAGAGATGAGTACAGAAATTGTAAATTTAAGATCAAAGATTTAATATCGGTCGTGAATTTCAATGCTTCGGTGTAAGGATCGTTATTTCCAAAGGTGTTTTCAAGGAAAGCTATCAAATTATCTTGAGGAAGTATGAATGCTTCTGGTGATTTATTGTAGGCTTTTTTTATATCCTCTTTAGTTTGTTCAGTTAGTCCGGTTTCTATTGGTGGGTTTGTCCTTCGTTTCTTTCTTTTTTGCTTAATGGTTTTTCCTGCTGTATATGGCTGGCAGGTGAAATGGGTGGAGGCATGCTAACAGTGTCATCTAGGGAACTGTTATCATTCGTGACCGTCGATACTTCTGAGCGACCTCGTTTAAGGGCTGGATTTAATGCGGTAGTTGTGTCCAGTTGTGCAGTATCTGTAATAGGGGTCGCGCTGGAGGTGTCTGTCGACTGTGTGTTATCTAGTAAAGGGGATGTGTTCGTGGATAATTCGGGATTTGAATTGGGAGTTTGGGTTACATTAACAGTTGGAGGATTAGGGCACTTAGAAGCAATGTGTCCTGGTTGTTTACAGATAAAACACTCCATTTTATCTGTAGATAAGAAGATTCTGTTGTCAATACCTTCAAAAGGTATTACAATTGACGTTTGTAATTCAAAATTATCTGTATTGGAAAAAACATATACTTGGCGTCTAAAGCTAAGGATGTGAGAGTACTCATCACCTGGGATACCAGCTCTTAAAAAGGAAACCGGGGAGGCTAACTCAAGCCCAAGATTTTTGATGGCAGATTCTACTAAATCGTGCGGAACGGTTGGGGAAATATTTGATATGACAATTCTTTTTGTAGGGGAAACCAGTCTGCGAATATTTAGGGTAATGTTCCCTATCTGAATATTTGGATGGGATGTCAATAACTGTTCGACTAGATTGGAATTGGTAAGATAAAAACATATCCTATTATGGGATATCCTAGAAGCAAAAGAAATTTGTTTGGGACCGATAATATCGCCTATAGCTCTAACATAGTCATGTAATTTAAGGTTTTGATCAGCATGTAATACTACCGCTTGGTTGTGCTTTGGAAACGAAGGTTTAACTATGGATGTTACTATGGATGCATACGAAGTTGTTTGTCTAGAAGTTGCATTATCTGTAGTTTGAGACATATTTGAAGCTGAACTGTTTTGCACGTTACTGCCCATGTAGTCAGAAGCAGAAACAATATTGTGAAATATTATTATTTGTTTAGTTTAGAGTTTTGTTGATATTTAAACATTTTCCGGCACCACAGGTAGCCGGCTATCACTTTTCGATGTTTATGCTAGTCCATTAATATTGTTGTTTCTAATTAATGTAAAAAGCAAAAAACTGGATCTAATTATAGATCCCAATAAACTAAACAAATCTAATTTAAAATGTTCAAATACGTACGTTATAATTACTGTTATCACTCACTGGTAAACTCGTATTTCACCGCTATTAATAATCACAGCAGCAATCGCCGATGTTTACGCGTCGAGGTACTGACAGCGAATCTCGGCTTGTACTTATTGATGCTCCGAAATACATATCTTCAATATCTAAAAAGTTTCGAGGGTTAGCATAATCAATTTCATTTAAATCTTTGTGTAATACATTAGGTTTGATATAACATTGTAATATAGTTTTTTAAGTTGAAGTTATTTCGATATATATTTTATGGACTTGTGGCTTTTCACTTTGCATTAATCTATTGAGCCTATTGAAAAAAGGTAGCATATACGCTAAAAATTCCAAGTACAATTTAATATCAGGTTTTTGAAGTTTTTGTAAAATAATATCAGCCCCAATAACACCTTCATAACTTTGTTCTGTGAAGTAGAGTATTAACGCTGCATACTGAGATAAAAGCCTTTTAACTACAGATTCTAACGAAAGCCATCTGGTTTGGGAGGGATGTAAAATTTTATGAGGTGACATTAGCGAACTCTTGAAATTCCTTGTATTGGTCTAACCTTTTTGGACTGTTTGAGAAGAAATTATACACCTAAAATAAGAAAAATATAATACAGAATACGCAAATTTAGAAAAAACTGGACATACTTCTCTCGCTAACTGTTCTGCTTCAGGGGGTAACTTCTCACAGGCATAAGAAGCGCAGAGATGGAATCTATGACAGACACATTTTAGTACAAACAGATTGGGACATTTTTCTTTTAGCCTACTGGCTAATGAGTTATGAGCACCCATCATGTTATTAGCTCCGTCAGCTGCAAACCCAATTAAATTTTTTTCATATGGGATGCTATTTTTCTCGAAAAATGTCTTAATTAAATTGAACAAGGCAGCTGCTGTTGCGTCTTGAACTGGCAAAAGAGCTAAAAAGCAATCCTCAATATTGTGATTAACGATCACCCTAGCAACAAGACATAAATGCTTGGAACAACTTCTGTCTCTCGATTCGTCTGAAATTAAACTAAATTTATTTTCTCTTAACAATTGTACGAGTTGTAAGCGAGCTATATTTCCAGTAACATTTTTAATAATGTTTTAAGTAAAGTAACATATTAAGTTTCTCCAATCTTAAACATTCCAGTTAGTCATCGCATTTTTATTTTAGCTCGTCTTGAAATATGTAATAAAAATTTACGACTTCCTGTCTTCACCGCCGATAAGAATTGCTGTGTAAACATGTAAAATATTTACATTGCACTAATTTGGCTTGTAAATACACCTTTTAAGAACTGAAAAAAATTTAGAGAACAAATAAATAAATAACAAATGAATGTATGATAGAAAAATAATAGGATTTTGGTTTTAAATTCAGCAAAATATCTTTATATACGAGACGAAAACCACAAATTCCTTGCAAAAAATATTCACATGAGATTTTTTGCATAATCACTTTCATAAAAACTGCAGAATAATGTTCAAGGTGTCGCCCATACAAAAAGTGGTCCTAATTTATTGAACAGTTTTGTATAAATTCATTTTTACATTGGGATAAGGGCCTCAAACAACTAAAAACAATGTTTTAAAATCAAATAAGCCCAAACTAAGTATCAAAGTATCAGAAACTAATAGAACAAGGTTTGGTGAATTCAAAAATAATTGTGTTTTTGAGCTTCAAAAGCATTTTTCGTTTTTGTTTTCAGTTTTAAATTGTTTACGTTGAAAACGATCAACGTTTAGCGAAAAATTATAATTAACCTTTTTTATTCAGAATGATCCAAAATCTGTGTAATTAAATTGTCTGTGTATTTAAATTAAATATACACTACCTTCAATAATGAATGTTCTATCTCTCTTCTTCTTTCTTCAGCGCGCTGGACTGAACTCTAGAATTTCGTTCTTGCACTTGGATGGAGGGTGATAAACTATTTACTTGTATGGGGTTATATGACACTCCCTAGATCGTACTGATACTATATACTCAATTTGACTGTGCAACCGGAATAGTCTCTAAGTATTTAAGAATATTAATGCGGAATCTACATGGAGACGGAGTGTTAGGTTACGCACGAAAAGACACAGACATACACGTTAGTTAAAACTAAATAAGAAATGAAATAATTAATAAAATGTTAAAAGAACTAAAAAATATACATGGAGGGACGGAATACCGAACTTATCACCTTGATTAGTTTGTATTTATAGGTCATTGTTGTAGCCGTCGTCGTCGTCGCTATCAGACAGTTCTGTTTCAGATGATTCGCTATCAGAATTTATTCTCGGCTGAAGTACTCTTCTTCTAATTTATCAACATGCCTGCAAGTATTTGCCCATATTTATGGCGTAATTTCATTTAGCCTAATTTTTGCTATTTCTAAAACATCTGCTAATTTAAAAGTCGTGTTTCTTGCTGCAACTTCATTTTTTAAATTGGCCCATATCATTTTTAATCTGGTTAAGTTCTTTATGATATGGTGGTAAACGTAAAACCGAGTGGTCGTGCTGTGCTAATAATTGGTCTACAGCATATACTGGGTTTTTAGGTTTAGCAATGAGTATCTTACTGTATAGCTCCGGTTTTGTTTCGCTTTCATCGAAAAATATATTTCTTTCTGTCAACCATTTTTTCATGATGTCTTTTTTCGAAGCCGATGTAGGACATTTTTCAAGAGTCACATTATGATATGAGGCGTTGTCTATTATTAAAACTGAATTGGAAGGTAAATTGGGAAAAAGTTTGTCTTTCAACTACTTCATATAATTCTGGTGATCCATATCATCATGATAATCACCAGTCTTTTGTCCGGATTTGAAAATGAGAGCGGCATTTTCGACAAATCCATTTTAACCACAATGTAAGATGATCAGTCGTTGCCCTTTAGATACCGGAGATGTTATGCACTTGTTGCGTCCATCATCCTAACCTTTTGGAACTGTGTGAATATTTCTATCTAAAAAAAATGTGAATTACTTTAAAATTAGTTATAATGTAAATAAATAAATATCTTACTTTCAGATTTGTACTTTTTGAGTTTTCTTAGAAATTCTGTTCGTTTGGCTCTTATGTCAGTTTTTTCAATTAAAATTTTTATATTGTCTTTCACTTTTCTCCACCTAAATCCTAATTTCTTCACAATTTTTCCGAAAGAAGATAGTTTACCAGTTACAATTCCTTCGTTTCTAACAGATTCGTAAACAGCTTTCATGGTAGGTCTTCTTTTGTGGATAGTAGCAAACGTGTAAATGGTATTTCTTATGATGTCTTCCTCAAATGGATTGACTGATGACTTGGGGCTGGGCTAGCAAATACTTGTTCTGGGTGATACAAATTGTGAAGTTGCTGGTTTGTTTTTACCGTCCTTAATTATCCTTTTTACCGTACTTTCTGAGGTACCAGTTGCTTGAGCCACTCGCTCTATTAGGGGTAAAGGAGTTGTGCAATATCCCAAATCTTTTTTCCGTTTCATAAATAAATAAACGTTAAAAATAATTTGCCTCCCTTGTGCATGGACCACTTTTCCGTTGTTACTTTCCCTAAATAGATAATAGATAAAATTTTAAATATTAGTGAGTTTAAGAAAAACAATAAACATAATTTAACTAACATTTTTAGGATCTCACTGTAAAATGTTAAAAACCACTTAAAACGCACTGAACATAAATAGTACCTCACTATAAAATATTAAAAACGATTGTTCACAAAAAATATTAAAGCTATATAAAATAAAAATATTAAAGTAATTTCACTAACGCAAAAAACTAGTTCGTCTCTGTCTCGCTAAGATAACGCACCGACGAGAACTGCATGTTTTTAGCAATGCCTGATATTATTGTTTCGTCCGTAGATCGACGTCACTAAATGATGACGTCAGGTTCACGACATTATGAATTATCTATACAGTTTATATATGTGGTTTATAAGACTTAAAAACCGATTTTATTCGCTTGAGAATGTTCTAAGGGCTCTGCTTATTAACGAGTGACATTGAGTACCTAAAGTTAGCCAACTGTAGTGTCAACTACAGAATGCGTGTTACTTTTAAGTAATTGATTTGTTGCGTATCGATTAACTGAAATAAAATCTTAAAATAAATAGGTTTTAACTTTCAGGTATTTTATTTTGTTTCATGAATTTATGCAATAAAATCTTTAGTGTTTCTATAAACTATTCAATTTATGATGATATAAATAAGCTAATATACAATAAACTAATCACAACTGAACCAAATTTTTAATAATCTTAAGAGGTGGAGTTATAACCTCTCCAATTAACTTGTTTCCACACCACCCATGCGGTAAAGTTTTCGGTGCGTTTTATTTGTACGTGGTGTCCCCAATAGGCCTAATCAACAATGCAATATTCATTCAGAGTCTGTTTCTGACTGAGATGAATTTAAATGAGATTGTTTTATTATAAGAGTAATCAATTTTTTCACAACACTGGTAAATGTGACTGTTTCAATTAATTTTAAAAACACATATGTACCTCATCTATCCAGCTATGGAAAGCTCGAAACGGAAGTCGAGGATTAAGTGAATAAAGGAAATAGAGCGGCAGGTTGCCTGAATGAAACAATATGGAGAAATAAAAGTATCGGAAAAGAAATGAAACGTAGAATTTACAAAACAGTCATCAGACCAATAAATGCGCGGCAGAAACACGACCTGATACAAAAGGGACAAAAAAATGTTAGAAATAGCAGAGATGACAACCCTTTGAAAAAACGATGACAAGACAAGGTGGGCGGCATTAATAACTACGTAAAAAATAGGTATAATGGAATGGCTACATAAGCCGAATGACAACAAATAGAGTAGTAAGCACGGCGAGAGACGGTTATCCAATATGAAGAGGATCAGTGTAAAGATCACGAGAACAATGGAATGACAACTTACTGGAGGCACATTGAAAAAACAGATAGTCATATTTACATAAAAAGAAGAAGAAAATATGTACCTCATAATTTTCCAAATTATTTTACTCCATTGATTCTGCAGAACTGTCTGTTGAACAGTATCCACCATGCCGCCCAATATCCACATATCATCTTCTACTTTAATAACATGGCTTATCGCATTGTTTCAATCAGTTGAATCAGTTGTATTGTCCAAACTGGCTTGCAAGAGGCGCTGGACATCAATAATTTTAAAAGTGACATTTTCTCGAGCTACATATCCTTTCATTTGTGCCAAAAATTAATTCTATTGGGTTTAGTTCACAATGATAAGGTGGTAGTCTTAAGACGGTAATGCCATGAAGTCAAGCCATTGTATCCACAGCGTACTGACGATATGAGGGTCCTAGTAACAAAGTCGGCAATCTCCATCATTTTGACTTTTGAGTAAAACGCAAAACAATTATACGGCTGTATTTTAGGTGATATCGAAACAAATATAGTTTAATATATAAGACAATGGCAAATGACAGCAAATGGTGAAGAAGTTTTACCTAAATTATTAACAGTTTTTTTTTTAATTGAAAAAAAAAATGACGGAGAATGCCGGTTTTGATACTAAGAGGTGTATATTGCCGGTTTTGATACTAAAATTCGGCAAGAACATAATAAAAGTAACACAATAAGTATTTATGTTACCTTGGAGAGTTTTACAGATAATTTTATTTATGATAGCTCATAAAAATAAAACAGCTTTGTTTTCAGAATAATGTAATTTAAGAAACAAAATATTATATAAATATTATACTAAAATAGAAGGAAGTTCTTCAAAGAACTCACAAGTTGCTTCCTCCATTTTTTCAGTATCTGGAACTGTATCAGCACTTCCTTCCTGAACTGCTAGCTGCTCTAGTTGATTATTATTAAAGATAATATCTTCAAAAAATTTGAGTTCTTCCATGGTTCTCCAAGTATTTCCAAAGTGCTTGGTGAGAAGTTTATCAACATCTTTAAGCTTAAGTGAATTTACTTTTTGCAGACCACTTTCTATAATAACGGGGTCAATCATATAAATCGTACAACCTTTCTTTAAAACACTTTTAAATGTTTGCAAATCAGTTCTGTAATTAATTTCTCCTCTAATGGTAATATTTCCAGATTTGCATTTTCTTAGGAAAAAGCGCTTTGTATTTTTAAAAGAAAAATGCCATGTACCAGTGGGTCTAAAAACACTTGAGATTGTTTCTTTCCAATTAAACACTTTGCAATTTTGCCCTAAGTGAGTAAGTGTAGCTATTTTTGAAAACAATTCCAAATACGTTTTTGGGTGCAATATAACTTCCAGTTTTTTAATATCTTTCTCAATATTACCAAAGACCCTATCAGCTGGCAAGAAAGAATGGCCTACCACCGGAAAAATTACCTCGATGTTTTGTACATGTTTTGGTGCTCTTGATGAAAGCCATTTGCAACACATTCCAATTAGCGTAGTGTTCTTATTTTGGCCACTGCAGCCATCTGCCATTAGTCTAATGGTGGTTACTTCAGAGTGAAAGTCAATTTTGTTAAGACTGTCAAAAACGGCGGAAGAAATTTCGTTGGAACCTTCTCCAAATTCGTCCTCAGTCCAATAATACGAAAATACATTTTTTTCAGTAAGCTTTGATTGAGAGGTTCCCTGGACTATGGTAAAATTATACAGATACAGTTGCCTAGAGTAGTAGGCACTTTGGTCGGGGACCTTAGGAAGTACAAGGTTTTTTTGACAATCAAAAGATAGTGTTATCAAATCATCTCGTGACTCTTTAAGCAACTCAAAAAATGCATTAGCCCTTAGCTTATGAATTTTTCTTTCATTTTTTCTTCTCTTCATCCATAGATCTTTTAATTTTTTCTGCAAACTCAATGCATAGGGAACACATATCCGTATGGGGAGTAGTAAAGCTAAGGTTGTACTTAGTATTAAAAATCATTCTAAAGTATGATGGTTTTACTCTCTCCTCTGGAGAACACTGATTAATATACATTTGGAACATCTTTTGTATTGACAAATCAGAAGAAAGGTAGCGCATACGTGTGGAAGAACGACAATAATGCGATTCAATACTTTTAAAAGTATTAATAAATTTTTGAACTGATTCTTGTTTTCCTTTAAAATTTGAAGTTTTTCTGTCACCGCCTCTTTTTTCCTTTGGTGCTTTTACTGTTTTAAAAAATGATTTCATAATATAGGTGAGGCGATGTTTCGTTATATTTAGTATGTTTAAAAAAGCTTTCTGGCACACTGGAATATTTTGCTTTATTACACTATTCCGTACAAAGCATTTCACAGACGTTGTTTTTGCTTCTTGTCTAGAGTTTTTTGGACGGTGACGTTTAGGTAGTTGAACTGTACAAAATTTTAGAATAAAGGAATCTTGACTAACCTTGTCCTTAACTGCGTAAAACGCATCATGAAAACACTTGATATCTCTCATTTTTAGAGAAGAACATTGATAGGCCTTCGTTTTGTGGCCGCAAGTAGGGAATTGTGGTAACTGTGATGAAGAGTACCTGAAAAGATAACATATTTCAAAAAACTAATTATAATACTGACCTTATAAAATTAACAGTAGCTTGAACAAATCATTTGTTTTTTTTTTATTAATTTTTCATAACATGTAAAATAGTTTTAATAATAAAATAAATCAAAAAATTATATAAATAAAATTTGAATACGGATGTGCTCTTAAACCTAACCTTTCGAGTAAAAACTACAACTAAATTTTAAAGAACTTACCTAATTTTTTTCCGCACATTTTGCTGCCATGTGGACGGATTGCGAATTCGTTTGCGAGCTTTGTTGTTTTCAACAGGAGTTGTAATAGTTTCCATTTTAAAATAGTAACAAAATAAAAACCAAACAGCTTGGCACCTTGGTTAAAAAGAAACTACGAGCAATTATAACGATAGCGACTCCAGACGACTCCTAGTGGTATATCACATGGTCACTACGAGGATTCTCATTGGTCAAAGAGGACATTGCCGACTTTGATTCTAAACCGTTCATGGAGATTGCCGTGTTTGATTCTTAGGCTAAATTTATATGCTATTTTATAGGCGGATAATGCCGTTTTTGATTCTTATTCTCTGTATTTATGTATAGTGTTTTAAAATATGAACAATTTGGTGTAACTAACTCAATTTTGGTAAAAAGTGGAGATTGCCGACTTTGATACTAGGACCCTCATATGTATTACGATGTTGTCTAATAATATTTATTAGCTCCATTTTAACCATATCCTCACCGTATGGAATGGATTTTTCTTTTAACCAATTTTGTAAAACTGCTTTTCTGTCACTCATATTAGGAGTTCGTTCAACAAGTCGGCTATGATAGGATGCATTGTCTAATACTACCACTGAATTAGGTTCAATACGCTGAAGAACGTTTTCGAACCATCTTTCAAAGCATGTGGCGTCCATGTCTTCATGATAGTCGCCTGTTTTCTTTGAAACAAAAATGAGAGCACTATTTTGCAGAAAACCTGTATCACTACCGATATGAGCTACAATAAGACGCTGACCTTTGCCTGATGGTGCTCGTAATCCTGTTGATAAGTCTTCTATAAATGCTTGACGAGGAGTTGTTACAGTCGTATCATGTCAAATTTTGGAAACTGTATGACCGGCATTAATACAAGTTTCATCAAGATAATAAATTTTTCTTTTGGAAAGACGATAATCTCTAATAGAGCGCAAATATCTTCGTCGCCATGCTACGATTTCCTCTTTATCTATTAAAATTGATTTTCGAGATCGTTTCATGTAACGAAAATTTAACTTGTGCAGAACTTTTCTTAACGTTTCGGCGCTCATTTTAAGAATCATATTGTTTTCCAGTAACTTGGTCCTAACTGTTTTGATCGTTGGGGTTTCATCTAGATCTAGAGGTTTTCGTCCACGCTGGCGAGTTTTGGCGCACTTAAAGTTGCTGTAATTTGAACTTCACGCACAATCCGTTCCACTGTCTAGGCTGACACCCCTGTTAAAAAGGAACAGCGATCTGCAGCGTCCGTTGTAGAATGTGTTTTTTTAAGTCCATCACACACTTTCCACACGATTTGTTTCTCAGCTTTTGAGAGAGGTTTGTGTCGATGAGATTTTGTGGTACCTGCGTCAACAGCTGCATCCATTTTTATTCTATAATTAATATTAATATTGCAAAGTTTTATTTATTATATGTTTTAACTTCTGTGCTTAACAATGCAAATGAAATGTCAATTACAGTATTTTTATTATAGAGTGTTGCTTTATTACCCAGGAAACTTAAACAAAAATTGAAAAGCCATAATGAACAATATTTCTTATCTTAACTTAAATCAAGTGATAAAAGTTTTTAACAGTATCCGTGCCCCTTATAACGTTATTGACTGAACCATGTTCCATACACTTTTCGAAATTTTCTTGATTTTAAAAATTAATTATGGATAATACAATAATTATTGCCTTTTTCGATTAAAAATCTAAGTATTAATTGTTTTACTTACTTACTTACTAAGTCTAAGTCTTAATCGTTTTGTTTTAAATCTTACAATGCGCTTAATTTGTTTACTTGTCATTTCATGATTTCGTTTAAGACAAATACGGCAAATCAATAGATTTAAATTTCACAGCTGTTTAATTTACTCACCTCGAAATAACGAAATATAGTTGGTAACAATAATAATATTCTAACAATAATAATAGTCTAAAATAACAATAATAATCTACGCGTTTGCAGTGAAAACTTTCCGCTGTAATGTATCAAAATTCACTCACGTTCACTGTGCACTACAGTGCGCTACTGACACTTCTCAAATTTAAGCATTATCAGCAGCTGCAAATGTATGTGTCACCATCTTAAAATACTTGTCGGAGTATAGGTGTGGGTCTTGTGTGGGTGTATTGGGGTGTGCATTCCCGGGTGTGTAGAGTCTGTATATTGTGCTTATAACTAGTTATTTTTGGTGCTTACTGTCTAGTGTTTTGACTACTCTGTGTCTATCTCGTTTCTTCATGTTTGTTGTTACCTATATCCAATGAGTTGATGTTTTGGCCGTTTATGTACCATTCTGTACCATTGTAGTTAGTCAACTCTCTTAGTTTTCTGCTTGGATGAGTATTAATTTGGTTGAATATGCTCTGCGCTCTTTCATCCATTATTCGCAGTATTCGCTTTTGTCCAGAGTCCCTATATAGGTATTTTAGTGGTATGTACTTTGGTAGATTTAGGGCTTCTCTGATTATCCAATTTTGTGCTGTTTGGATCTTCTTTCTAGTAATTTTGCATGTATGTCCCCATGCGGCAGATGCTTATGTTGGTGTGGGTAGTATTATGCTGTTAGCTACCCTAATTTTTGTTTTGAAACGTAGTTTGCTCTTTTTGCCAATTAGCGGAGAGAGTTGACTTCTTAGCGTTTTTGCTTTATAGACAGATTGCTTGACGCGTTCGGTGAAGGCAAGCTTTCTGTTTAATATGACTCCGAGGTATTTAGCCTCGTTCGTCCATTCTACTGGGGTATTTCCTATTATTATTTCTCTTTCTGGTCTCCCTATGCGGTGTCTGTACATAACGGCTTGTGTTTTATCGGAATTTACGGAAATTTTCCACTTTATACACCATCTTTGGAACCTCAGAGCGCTTTGTAGATGACGCAGCTATATTCGGGTTTCTGCTGCTATGGCTGTGTCGTCCGCGTACAGACTGACCAGCGTTCTGGGGTCTGTCGGAGTGTCAGCGGTGTAGATAGTGTACAGGTAAGGCGACAGCACCGCCCCCTGAGGCACTCCAGAGTCCCGAGTTCGGACAGGATTTGACCTATCCTTACCCTGAACCTTCTGTTTTAGCTAAGTATGACACAAGGAGACATGTCATCGCCTCACTATATCCTTGGTTGCTCATTTTATAAAGCAGACCTAGATGGCATACCCTATCAAACGCTTTACTCACGTCGAGGAACGCAGTTGCTGTGTACAACTTTTCATTAAAGCCTTTAGTTATGCGTTCTGTGAGTCTTAAGACTTGTAATTCGCAAGAATGTTCGTTCCTGAAACCGAAATGGGCTT